GCTTTTCTTTATAAAAACTTCAATTAAATTTCAATAAAGTTAAAGGCATGGCCTCATCATTAATATTTAAAAAAAAAAAATAAAACAAATATAAGATAAAACTTTAATTTAAATATAAAAAGTTAGCATAAGATATTAGTTAGTTTGAAAGTAGCATTTCATAAGTTTTTAGTATTTTAAGACACATATATGAGTTATATTTGTATTACTATATTGTTTTCAATTTATATTAATAACAATACTGTTTAAGAATAAATATTGCTAATTGTTTTAATAATTTTATATATTGATTATTTGAAAAAAATAAACTAAATTACTTATTTTTACAAAATTTTCTTTAAAAAAAAATAAAAGTTAACAAAATTTTATATGTAATTTTTTATATAAGTTTTATAATTATATAATAATTATTTTTTTAAGTTTTAATAATTCTAACTTAGAGTTTTTTATAATTGTTTTTAAAAAAACTTTCTGATCTAAATGCCAAATACAAAAAAAAATTTATTAGAAAAGAAATTGAAACTTTTTTAAACAACTACAAGTATGCTTACTTTTTAGTATTTTATATCTATTTTGGTTTTTTCAACAACAACCTATTTTATATAAAATTATAAATATTATTTTTTAAACTTTATTATAATATTTTTTTGTAATTTAATTTGTTATTATTATTGATCAAAAAATTGTTAGAAAAAGTTAATTTTCTAATCTAAATTTTAAGTTTTAAATATTTTTTTAAATAAACAGTTTTAAAAATTAATTAAAAATTGTAGAATAAGTTTTTTTGATTTTAATAATAAAAATTAGTTAAATATTTATTAGGATATATATATTTAAAAAAATTAGATATTATAAATTATTTATATAAATTATATAAAGATTATATAATTTGAACTAATTAAGTTTACCAATTTTGTATAATTATAGAAAATTTGAATGTATTATAGAAAATTTTGCAATATATATAAGTATTTTTTTTAAAATATTTTATTTATTAAAAATTTTACTATTATAAAAAATATATTTTATTCTATATTATATAAAAATTTGATAAAAATTTTATTAGTAGTAAATTTTTATTTTTTATAAAATTTATACTATATTATAAAGATTATATAAAAAATAATCTATATACTTTCTATCTTTAAACATAAATAGCAGATTATAATTAAAAGATCTAAATTTTATAGTAAAAATCAGCAAAAAATTATTACTATTTTTACAGGTTTTGTAAACCAAGTTCGTACAAACAGACAGTCAAATTCATATAAGCAGACAGTTAAATTCATACAAGCAGACAGTCAAATTCATACAAGCAGACAGTCAAATTTGTACAAAAATTGGCACTCAAATTCATACAAACTAACAATCAAATTTGTACAAACTGACAATCAAATTTATACAAACTGGCAATCAAATTCATATACACTAACAATCAAATTCATACAAGTTGCTAACAATCAAATATGTACTAAATTTGTATAATATTCATCAAATAATTTCAGTTTTAAATATAAGGTATATATATATGTATGTACTAATTTTTTTGTATCAGGTATATAACCCATGCCAAAGGCACAGAAACAGGTTTTATATAGTGATATTAGATTTAACTAATTAAGCTATTAACTGTTAAATAAATTTTTATATATCATATTTTGTGTATACTGATACATATTAATTGTGATTTTTATATAAGTTGTAAATAGGAACAGGGTTAAGTAGATTTGGAATTTTAGGGTATAAGATTTATGTAATACTAATTTAACTAAGAAATTTCAAATCCATATTCCTACTTTCAATATATAAAAAAAAATTTGAATGCTTGAAATTTTTTTTTCAAAAAGTAAAAACTATTAAATTTCATCACTCATTATCTCATAAGTTACTTATACTATCACAGTGAAGGGTTATTTGGCATCTGCAAAAAAATATCTTTCTAACCCTGCTGCCTTTTTATAATGTGTACTTACAGTGCTAACTACAATACCCAGAATAGCAAATAACTTACAGAAAAAATGAATCAGAAAAGAGACAAGCCTATCATAAACAGCTAAGAAGAAGAACACAAATTATAAAGAAAGGCATAATTATTATTAACTAAACAAAATTATATATTCTTGCATATAATTATCCTATATTTCAAAATAAAGATTCACCTGCCTGCCAACTTATCAATAATGATCATAATTATCTAAAAAAGTTGCATGATATCACAAAATTAAGCATAATTATTACTCTATTTGTAAAAAATGCCTTCCTTCAGTTATCATATGTAAACGATCAAGCTGGTAAGAGAATAGTTTGTTATATTCTACTGAATTTTTGGAATATTCAGCTTCCATTTCAACTTGATTCAAATTTTAGACTCAATGACCAGAATCGAACCTAAATTAGGTTCAACATTTAGATACCTAAATCTTGAATTAAAAATATAGTAAGTGACTTTTAATAGAATATATAACTGACTTTAATAAAAGAATAGTTTGTAATACTTTACTGAATTTTAGAGATGTTCAGCTCCTGCTTCACCTTAACCAAATTTTAGGTTCAATAATCAGAATCGAACCTAAATTAGGTTCAATGTTTGGGTATCTGAATCTTGAGTTAAGATATAATGTCTGACTTTTTGTAGAATATATTGTAATAGTTATATCCTGAGCAGTTGGATATATATAAGCAAAACTTTGTAGTAAAGTATAATCAGCTACGTAAGTGGTCAGTTATACTACTACAAAGTTCAGATTATATCAACTAAGCAGAATATACTTAATTTTAGAATAAATCCTTTATTTTACTGTTTTTTTGATATTTAAGATTAAATAAATAATACACTTAATCATCTAAATTAAATAGATATATTTTCAGTAGAAATAAGACATAAAAAGTTACATAAATAAGATACTTTTTTTCTGAAGATACAATAACCTGAACCAAAATTAGATTCAATGTTTGGATATTGCAATCTTGATTAAATACAATAGATAACTATATATTAACTACTAATAAATAGCACCTTTACTATCTATAGCAATTCTGATTAAAATGAATAATTATATGAATTATAACCAATTCAATCTATTAAATATACTGTACTTGTGAAGAAAAATAAAGAACTTGTTTTCATATATAATTTTTTTTATGTCTTGCTTAGGCAGCTATAATTTATAAGTTTTAATGTTACAATAAATCTTAGAATAAGAAATTTATAACTGATATTATAGTTGGAGGGTTTGTATATTTGCTGTTTTTTTTTAAAAGTTTTTTTTCTTTTAATAAATTACAAATATTATAACAAATATGTATTTACAACAAGAATAATAGAACAAAATTGTTTTATTAAAATTTATTATAGATTCAATCTTACAAGTAATATATAGTAATTTATAAAATTTAAATACTATACTATATATTTTAAATTTAATTCCAAAATGTAAAACTTAATAACTAAGGCTCTAGCATACAAAATATCACCATTTTTCTAGTACTTAAATAAATTTTGGAGTTGAAGTTCTTAAGATTAATTCAATAATAAGGTAACAACAAATCTACTAGTACAAAGTGTCCTTATCTTAACAAATAATTTAAACAATAAATTAATTATGCATTGTACTAATTCAATGTAATTTGATTTTGAATTAACAGGCCAGAGATTAATCTATTTTTCAACTTTGGTTTCTAAATAAGATAGATAAAAAGTGTAAAAATATAGATTATCTCTGCAAGATGCATGTGCTACATAATATAAGAATCAATGTAGCATAAGATGAACTGATGATGCATGAGCCATGCAACATAAGAATCAACGATGATCATAATATAAGAGAAGTTCATTAAACATGTAATATGTAATCAAAAAGCTAAAATTGCATTATGATAATGCAATAATAGCAATAGCATAATAACATAGTAATTGCTAGTAATTGCATAATAGTATAGTAATAGTATAATAACATAATAATCATGTAAGTGTAGTAATCATTGAATCATTTGTAGGTAATAGGAAGTAATGCAATAAAATAGATAAATAGATAAAATAGAAAAAGGATATAAATTAAAAAAAGAGAAAGCTTGCTTAGAAAAAAAAATTAATAAAAAAAATTGATATACTTTCCTAAAGTTCCTTACATACAGTTACAAAAAGCCTTTAAAAATCTTGTATAATCAAATAGCATTTAGAAATTTTTATATTTCATAATTTTATTTTCAAAAAATTCTATTATATTTAATTATATATTAATAATTTCACCATTTAAACAACAGTTAAAATATGAAGAAGTATGTCTTATCTATCCTATACAATCTTCTTCTGTAACAATATTAAATCCATCATTCATCCTACTTAAAATTGTTTCTCAATCTTTTAAACGATTTCTAGTAACAGAATCTTTAAGTTTTGAAAAACAATTCTCAATTGGATTTAAAAATAGAGAATACAGTGATAGATATAAAAGTTGATGTGTAGTATTTGCAACAGTTTCTTTGACTACATCTGATCTATAAAAACTAATATTATCCATTGCTAAAAACTTACTATTTGGAATAATATTAATAAGCTTATAAATAAAAGTAGTATAAATTTCTGCATTTACTAAATCTAAAATAGACTTATAATGCAAGACTCTATTTTCATTAATTGCAGCAATAACTGAAATATTTTTTTCTCTGTTATTTACAACTTTACGAATAGCAGGCTGACCACAATATGCATGACCTCTTGATTTTGAAAGATGCAAATTGAAGTTAGTTTTATCAATATAGACTATATCACTATAAATATTAATATTTTCATCATAAATTTTTTGTACATATTCTTTTCTTTTTTGAATTGTATTAGGAGTATTACGGCTTTTTAGATAACTGTAAGTCTTTTTAAGGTAAAATCTAGATTTGTTATATATTGTGTGACAGTTCTATCAGATATCTACATATATATAATATACATATATATATATATTAAATTTTTTTAAAAAGTTGATTTTTGAAAATTATATATACTATATATATATCTAAATATCTGGAAACTGATCTACTAATTTTTGTGTTAAATCCGAAATAGAAATCTATAGTTTCTCTTCAATTGCATCTTCTAAAAACATTTTATGTTGCTTATTTAAAATAGATTATTTATCACTATCTTGTGGTTTAGGTACAATTCGATCCTCTTTATCAAAAGTATTGACAATACTTTGAACAGTTGAAGCTGTTAATTGAAGATTAGCTGCAATATTCTGAATTGGTAAACCTTTATTATTAACATAATCTATAATTTTTTTTCTTGTTTTAAAAGAAATTTTTTGATATTTATATTTTCTTTTTTTATTTTGTTGAGACATTATTAAAATGAATATGTAAAACCTTTTTATTTATATAGAATATTTTTACTATTAATTTGTCTATTAAATTATGCAAATAAATAAATAATCATGTAATAGTTTATTAAATTATTATAAATTATAAGAATTACAGCCACCTATCATATTATTGTAGACACTTTTTAAAAATTTATAACAAGCTAATTAAAAAAAATATTAGAATAAAAATTATACAATAAACTTATTAAATC